CGGTGCTTACCCCGAGGTGTCCCATGCTCCTTGGGCGTCTTGTCGCCCCACAACGACCCCTCTCCTTAGTCTTTCCTCGCGCCTTGTGCGTTCCGATCTCTTTGGTCGTGGGCCTCCGCTCCGAGGCTCCCGTAGGTGGCCTACGTGTTGGGCCTCATTTCCTGGCTTCCCGCGGCTTCTGGCCGCCCATTCCTCGACTTCCTCATTCCCTTATTGCTGTCGCGCTGTAATTGCTAGCTCAAAGGGCCCTTTGGCCTTAGTCTTATTGCATTCCGATGGCCCTCCCGGCCTCCTGCTATGTTCTATGTGCCCCTGTTCTTGCGCTCGCTTGCTTGCCACCGCTAGTTCTTTCCTCATGTGGTTCTTTCCTCAGGGCATCACTCCCTTCTACGGCCTAATCCTTTGTCTTTTCTCTCTCCTGCTTCCTCACTCCAGATTTCTCTGTTGTGCACAAATTGTCCGTATTCAATCTCTCAAGTGTTGGGAAGTTATTCGGGACCCACCAGTCCCGACACATTCCCCCCACTCATTCGCGATGTCCTCATCGTGCACCAATCTCTTGTTAGTGGATTTTGGAGGGATAGACGGGAGAGGAGGGTGAGGTGTTATGGGTGGTTAGTTTGCCAGGGTCCGTTTTGTTCTTTTCCCATTCCTTTCTCAATGTCTTCCTTAGCTTTCGCCCCTTGGGGTGGAGGAGGGTATGGGGGAGTTGAAGGTTCTACAACTTAGACCAGGTTGCTCATTTCCATCATAGCTCTACCTCTTTATCTTTCCCTCAATTGAGATGTGAACTACCTTTTCAGTCAATTTTGTATACCTAGCAGGGCGGCCCATAATTCTTTCAACTTTAGTAACACGGGGCAGACGGGGCTCTTTTTACTTCATGCACTTAACTACTGTTATGCTGACGTTATTCCCCAGATGAGAATTTGTTGTCATAACACAATTGGTTTTCTCATTCTATGCCTTGACTTTGTTGATAACAAATTGTAGGCAAGTTTTCGGATGCGACTCAATGTCAGGCATTTGCTCCGGAAGGGAGATGTTCGTCCAGTACAACCGTCGTCTTTGTCGTGGTGATACCCACTTCGAATCGGTGAGCCCAGGCACAACTACCCTTAAGTGATTCGTAATCTCAAATCTGTCTTCCCATTTCATCGAGAAAGCATTCATGAGCAGAAATCATTTTGGTCTCGCCTCATTCATTACTCTTGTAAAAAATAATCTACTTTTCGGCCCGCGCAATCCATGTTTTCCCTTTACCGTTCCCCAATGCTCAGGCCTTGCCAAATCCACATGCATCTCCCCCGGGTTCTTTCGCCTGACTCTCCTCAGGTCCTGCCAATTTTGCATTCATATCACTCTTTGTCCTTTCTTGTTCCTTGCTTATTTTTAACTTTTTTTTTCATGCATGCTGCCCAGTTCATCCCTTGTGCATCTCTCTTTCAGACACCTTGTCAGACCTGTTTCCAAATACTCATCTGTTTCCCTGCCTGCCAGTCTTTCTCTCAGATCCATACATAGTCCATCATACGAGTCTTTTCTTTTCCAGACGTCTTACTTGGCCCATTTTCAAGCTTATGCCAAATCAATCACACAAGTCGCTTGGCAGGCCTTTTCTCAAGCTCATGCAACGTCAATTTCTTACCCGTTTCTCTTCTGGACATCTTGCCAGACCTTTTCTTAAGCCTGCGCAAAGTCAATTACTCGTTCATTCTTCTCTTCTGGACATCTTGCCAGGCCTTTTTCTCAAGCTCATGCAACGTTAATTACTCATTCATTCTTTTCTTCTGGACATCTTGCCAGACTTTTTCTCAAGCCTGCGCAAAGTCGATTACTCATTCATTCTTATGCTCATAGTACCCTTCTCTTTTGCACGCTTTTTCTTTGGTAGATGGCACACCTTCCCCCCACTCAAAATGCGATGTCCCCATCGCACGACTGGTTCTCATTCGGAGGTACGCAGACCTTGGCCCACCAACGAGTAGGCGGATGCCGGCCCATCAGCCCCAAAAAGGAAGGGTGATCAGTCCTCCCCCTGCTGATAACTCACCTCATCCTCTACTCCGTCCGACCTTTTGCCGCTTACGAGACGGGCGTCATTACTGAGGTACCTCCTCATATCTGGCAGGCAGGTCCAGTCCAAAACCTCCCTGGATCCCGTCTTGCCGCAAGGGCTTTCTCGCGAATCGTTCCTCCCGGGTGGTGTTTTCTTGGATCCGGCCTCTTCCTTTCAAGAGAGTTGGGGCTCTCAATTAGTCCACGAGTGCAGTTACGAAGACCTTGCAATTAATCCCGAAGCGGTTGTAATGCTCCGGCGGGGCGCTGTCACTCGCCTCGTGGTGGTTGTGGCTTCCACCCGGTACCACGCCCAACTCCTCCCTTCTGGACAGTGCTGCTCAACTTAACGCGAGCCGTCGTGGTCCATTCCAAGCGGCCATGCCGCCCCTCAACGACATGGCTTGTGGTTGGGGAGAACAAAAGAGACTAGAAAAAAAGAATGGCTCTCTCGCCCTTTTGGTTCCCTCACCCTTTGACGTTTAGGCGTTCAACACGAGGCGCAATTTGAACTTCCCGACTAGAGCTCGTTGTCCGGGTCAGTTCCGGACGTCCCGCACCGATCCAAGTGGTAGGTGCCTTGGTCCTTTAACCCTCATCCCCTTACAAGAGGAACAGGTCCATTTCAATGCTATTTCCAAGTCCATTTCAAGTTGCCTAGGGTCCCCTGCCTATGCAATGCAATATTCAATCCTCAATCATTCAATCCAATGCTATTTCCAAGGCTGATTCTCATGGCTGGTCTGACAGCCTCCTATCAACAAGGCCATCCCCATGGCCGGTCTGGCGGTCATTCTCTCAATAGCCATTCTCAATACTAACCTCAAGACTAACCCTTCTGCCCACTCAATCCTCAATTTTCTCATTCCTCAACACCCAATTTTTGTGACCGTCCCAACGGTCCTTGCCCTTCTCGGCTTTAAGGCTCCGCCTTCTTTATCTTGTCCTTCTCTTTCGCATTTTCCTTCCGCCCTCTTGGCACTTTTCAGTGGTCGAACCACCGGCCTTTTCCATTTCCTCCATTCAACTCATTGGCTATTTCAACAACCGACCCACCGGCCTTTACCATTTCTCTCATCCCATTGGCTATTTCAATGACCATCCCATCGGCCTTTCCCATCTCTCTCATTCCAGCACATTCTCAATCAACCTTTCTCAATCAACCTTTCTTAATCCAATATGCAGGGGACCCCAGTGCCTATTTCAAAAGGAATGACCCTTGTCAGGGGCCATTCCCGAACAACCTGGTTAGGGTCGTTCTTATCCATTCTCAAGTCGAACAGCCTGGTTAGGGTCATTCCTTTCCATTCTCAAGTCGAACAGCCTGGTTAGGGCCATTCTTTTCCATTCTCAATGTTAGTGCCCGAGGGGGTGGGCCTCGAGGTTACGGATCCCATTTTTGTCTTGGAGGTTAGAAGGTGGCCATCTCATCTTTTGCGTCATGTTCTCTTCCTTCCATTTCTCACAGTAATGTACCATCCATTTCATTTCTCACAGTAATGTACCATCCATTGTGTACACTCGACTTAGCGTCTAGCACTCGAGTTGGGGCTCGCGACCCCAAGCAGCACTAGCCCACCCGGCCGTTCATCCATAACAAAAGATAAAAGCTTCCCTTCCATTTTCACTCTTCCTGATCTCTCAGGTTTCGATTATTCTCAGTCTTATTCATGACTCAGTTGGATTAGGCTCCTAGGGAAGGAGTGTTCTTCACGCCCCTTAACCCATAGGTTCCCTAACCTCTCTTGTACTCGACCAATCATTCAATGCCATGGTTTGCTCGTCAATCCGTACTCAAGGTTTTCCTCTCTCAAAAGCATAATCCTTGTTCCATCCAAAATTCACAATACGCCCTTTCCTTATTGGTCTCATCCCAATTCCCATGTCTTTGTCTTAGGTACCCAAGGTAGCTCATCCAAAAGTAGCCTCAACAATTATCTTCTACTTTAGCGTGACACAACCTTAGTTGGCCCTCTTTTCACTTCCTCCTTAGCAAGCTTGCCCATATTATACACGTTCTCGTCATTCTCATATCTCTGCAGACAGAAAGGAGCGATCGTTTTCAATGCTAAGCCAACACCTAGTTCCTATTACTGCCTTGCGCCTCGTCTCGCCTAGTTCCTTGTCCACTCTGTTCCTCGGCAGGCTTCCTAACCCCCAGGCCGTAGGTCTCGATCTCTCTTTTCATCCTTACAATTTTATGCAACTCAGCCTCGTTGAAAAAATCCAGTGGTGTGGCTTCCACCCCTGCCCTTGCGAGTGCCCGAGTCTTGATAATCCATTCGTGCATGATTACATTGGTCCATTGCTGAAACCAGTGACTGGGCGTTGGCCCGAACTCGTCCTCCCATCTGAAAGCCCCATCGCCTGGCTGGTGCATCAGAGGCCGCCCCTCTTCCCTAGGCCTTGAGATTTCATCCCTCTCATCCCCGCTGCTGATTTTTATAACTTCTCGCACATCCTCCTCCTCGTCCCCGTCGTCTTCAGTCTGTATGGGGCTATACCCACCAGCAAGGTTCTTCGGATCGTAGGTAAAAAAGATCTATGTCCCCGTCCCATACCCCTCGCAACTGCCGTGACCGCTTCGTCCTTCAAGCGGGCTCTCCCGTTTCTCCTCGTCCTCCTCACGTTCGTCACGCATACCTTGTCCCCCCTCGCTTTCCCCATGCCAAGTCTCACATCGTTCGCCCCTATTGGCCCCTTCCTCGATAGAGACCCGAGCCTTATCTCCCGTTTCTGTATTGCCTGCTTCTTCCACATTTACCCTCTCTTTTCGCCCTCACTGTCAGATGATATTTCTATACCTTCTCCCTTGCGGAGGGGTGAGGGTTTCCTACAGAAACATTTCCTTCCACCCCTGCCTACCACTGACCCGCCCATGAGCCCAATGTACAATTTTCTCTTCGCTGTCCTCCTCCCTTGGCTTGGTCCAGCTTCTTCCCCTCCGGTAGGCCTGTTGATTGCCCCACTGTCGTTTTCGTTGCCGAATTCCATTTTTATCTTTTCTCGTTTTACTCCTAAGCCCTGTATAACAAAACAACACCCGCAATGTTCCTCATACACTTACGCCTCCCCCCCTTAGGCCGGTAGACATTCCCAAAATGCACCCAGTATCCCTCGCATCACGCCCCTTTTATACATGCGAATGCGTCGTTTGTGATGACCCCATTTTTTTCCCGTAAAAAACTATGGTACAATGCCCTAAACATCCCTTCCCGTTGTCACACAAGCCAAATATTGCAAACCCGCAAGTCATGCTGCCTTTCAACCTCAGTCAGTCCAAGCCAAAGCGCCAGTCCCAAAAATTTGACAGTCCCACGAACATGGTCAGAGACAAACCATAGTGTGGGCAAGGCTGTGGTCAGTCTTTAGCTTGTGGCTCCTCTGTTTCCTTATCTTCGGCCTCCTGAAGCCATTGTTCCACTGGGTCCCGACTTAGAAACCTGACCAGTCGTTGCCCCGGGAAGGGCCCTTTCAATCCAGTTCCATCCAAATCTTCCAGTTCGAAGGTGTTCAGTCCCACCCGCTTGGCGACCCGGTAGGGGCCTTTGAACCTCCTTCCCAACTGTCCCAACCAAGTACTTTCTAGTGCCGAGTTCCTTAGCAATATCATCTCCCCCACCTGAAGTGGCTCCTTTCTGACATTCTTAACCTGGTCCCATCTTGCTTTGTCCCTCATTCTGCTGTCCAGCACCCGACTGGCGATGTCTTCCACGACCTCCTCATTCTTAAGGATTTGTTGACATCTTGCCTCGATTAACTCTTCAGTGGTCATTTGCGGATCATCATCTAACCTATTCCAAGTAGGTACCAAGGCTTCCACAGGAAAGTCGATCTCTCTTCCGTACCAAAGCTCTGCCGGGATATATCCTGTTGTCCTTTTAGGAGTCATATTCTCTGCAAAGACAGCCTGCTTAAGATACGTAGGCCAGTTCCCCAAATGGTCTGAACGAGCTTTGCAATCGTGTTCTTCAAGGTTCGGTGCCCCCTTTCCACCGGTGCATTGGCCTCAGGGTGATACGGCTCGATGAGTTTGATCGGTACGCAGAGTCTCTTAMGCATCCCCAATACTTCTTGGTTCACAAATTTCGTCTCATTGTCTGCTATAAACCTCCTGACGAACGGGTGCCTTAAGTAGAAGTCTTCTATCCAGT